GACTTGCCTGTTGCGTGATGTCACAGCCTAGAGGGGAGGGATGTTTACTGAGCGTTGTGTAACGATGGGAGGAGTAGGGGTACTTGATGTTACTTGTGGAAACGCAAAGATCATGTGACCCCTACTACCTGTTGCGCCATCCACATTACAATATAATTCACCTAATTTTTTCCTAGACCAATTCCTTGCTGACTTATAAGGAAACCTTAGTTATTTTATGGTACTTACATTCTACATGGTGCGTTCCATATATAATGCCTCCTATTTTTTTGTGTTAATATGTAACATCTTTCGCTTGCAACAAGATAACGCAAGACCCCATACCAGTTTGGCGACCACAGCGCACATTGCAAAGTTTGGCTGGACTGTCCTACCACATCCACCTTATAGCCCCGATTTAGGACCTTCAGACTTCCATCTCTTTGGGCCTATGAAAGACAGACTACATGGGCAACATTTTCCAGACAATGATGCTGTCATTGCAGCTGTAAGAAAGTGGCTAGCCTCTGCTGGCGCAGACTTTTTTTGATCAGGTTAGCTATCTGGCTAGTCAACCCACCCCTCTGATCTTATTTGCACATACACACTTTTCTGCCCATCCACACTTCCTTATTATCAGTGTCCAGTGTAAGTATACTCACCCATCCTCCACCATTAAATCTTCTTCTGTATTTTCTTCTTCCTCCACTGTATCAACTTCCTTCAACTCTTTCTGCAATAAGGAGCTGAGTGACACCAAAAACGTGATTGATATTCATTAACAGAAGGCTCATAAATTTTATTACAAATGTAAATAAAGATACAAGCTATCCCAGGAAAAGGTCTTGAGATTTAGTGATGATCAAGATTTTAATTCAGTTACAGATTGCATTGATATGGTTATCCAGCATTCTGCACTGTACTGGGGTACTCTTTACTTCCCCAGAAGTTTCTGCAGTATCTCAATAATATCCCCTTTTCAAACTATACTGTAACTATATAATATTAGTTAGATATCTGCAAGAGATTTACTGGGATGTCCCATTATTAACAACAAAGTTTCAGATGCATGACAACATGTATTCTTGCTGAAGGTTTCTGAAATTCTTTAATCCACAGATAACATGCTGTTAATGATGTGTGTATCCATTTTACCATACAAGTAACAGAAATGTGTACTCCAAATTTAAGTCCATATATTTTCCAAATACAGTGAAGCTTTGATTTTGTGATCCCTGATTTTATAATTTTTGTCGGTTTATGCACATTTTTAAATTTTAATTGACTTTTGTGTCTGCAGCTTTATATTTCCCCTGAATTTGCACTTCATTTTTCTAGTCCTGGTTTTAAAAATTTACCTGACTTTACATTCTGTAGTTCAATTCTCACAATTTATTATCTGTGACAACAAACTTCCTTCCACGTTAACAGTCGCAAACTGTCACTGAAATACGTATCAACTGGCTGATGCACAGCTGCAAGAGACTTATGTATGTGCCATGTGACTTCACTATGGAACAAAGTGTCCGTGAGGGGTATCTTCTGCCACCATCCAAACAGATCACACATGCTAAGCCAGTTTTGAACTGGATACATCTCATTATAACACCAGCTCAGCGAGTGTATATTGTGTCTCCCACATTTGACAGGTTTGCCACTAAATGACCATTGTAGCACAGCAACCACTGAGTTTTCATAAGCAAAATATTTAACAAAAATTCATTCAGGTTCAAATATTTAATTTTCCTGTGCCCACGTGACTTCACATAAAACTGTGTTATAAATTAAGACGAATTTCACAGCAAAAGGATGAAATTAAGAAAATAAAGGAAAAACTAAATCACTTACAGTAAGTGATAAAATAACTACTGCAGTGTAAGCTGATGCACACATTGCAACACATGTTCAACAGGAATCTCAATTGAAACTTTCAGTGCCCACATTAAACCATATTATGAAGAATCACAGAGAAAACGAAAGAAGTTCCATCCAACGTGAACCTTTCTCCAAACAGTGTAAGTCACTGAAATGTTTGCCACTGGAGGAACTGGACTCTGCACTTGCAGCATCATTCAAGCAAACACATGAGAGTTATACTCACACAGACGACACCCACCTCAAGAAGAAAGGCTCACACATCTCTGCTCGCCTGGTAATAGTCAACTTTTGGCCTCCAACAGTTGGATCAACAGAATTAAGAAGAGACAAAACATTCCTTACAGAAATCTATCAGGTGACAGCCTAAGTGCTGACTATAAGAAGAAAGTTAGTTACTGTTTCAGGCGGTCCCTTACAAAGCATAAAACTGAGGCTTCACTGTATGTTCTTTGCACACCTATATACACCAGAGACCCTCTGATGTTTATTTTATATTGGTGAAAATTTCATCTCAGGGTAATTAACATCTGATTTCTCCTTCATATCATGAGAGGTGTAACCTCAAAGATTCAAATCATACAGCAGAAATGGGAAATTAATTTGTGTTCATAAGTAGGTTTTTGAAGAAAAAAAGATTTCAACCCTGCATCATAAGTATGCTGTACTACATATGAAGTGAAATGTTCCGAAATATATAAACAGATGTGACACCATGCAAACTGGCATAAGTTCACCTCCTTCTAGACTGTATGGCATTGCATTCAAAAAGTGACCTCTGTAGGAAGCTCAGATCCAGCAACTTCCTACATACTGTATATACTTGCATATGAGTCTTCACAAAAAAGAGCAGCCATGTCACATACAGGTTAAAATTAAATTCTATCGTAAAATATGCAATTATTTCCAAATAAAGAACTTCTTCAATTCCATTTTTCCTGAGAGAAGTTATATGCTGAAGACAGAAAGAGACATGCACGTGTTTTTCATGTTTTTATCTTACAGTTAATACACAGAGACACAATTCACCTCATTTTCAGCCATCAAAATGGGTAATGTTATTAAGAAAGTCTTCCTTATCTTTCATATTATAATGCTCAATTTCAGGATGAGAAGAGACTTCACATATTCCCTGTCTACATCAGGTTTTACATTTGCAAAATTAAT